AGCACTTCACAAAGGAGAAACTGAATGTTAGCTGAACTAAAGTTAGTGGTGTGTAATGCTTATGCCACACTCTTCATCCATCAGCTCAATTTCTCCCACGACCATCTTTACCCAGTGACACCTCTGTAAAGGCCAGTGCTTCACCCTGGTCCAGTCTCTGCAGGTGCAATCTGAGATTGGAAGGACTGAATCCGTTATCCTGTTGCCAGGTACTTTAAATGTAAACAATTAGAATATTTTGCATTTTTATTGTCCTTTTATGACATATATTGGTGCACAGTACCCCATATGAAAGACTGTCACAGAGGGTCACTTGTGATGTCATAATTTTGTGGACAAATATCCCTGTAAATACTGAGTGAAGTTGTCATAAACCTTTCGTTTATATCAGAATTCTAAATGCCAAGTTAACTCCCCAGCAATATTTATACCTGCTATTTAATCAATGGGAGAAAGTCATTAGCATAATATGAACAGATTGCAATGTTTTAACCTAATCAGAATTATTGGTTTTGCATTTACCATATGTAGCAATTCCACTTAAGTAAATGGGGAATAGGGTAAGAGTTCTGAGATTGTAATAAATTCTGGACCTGATGCTCAGTACTATATTATTCCATCAGTCTAGTAATAGGAGAGTGCCTTACTTTCCGAGCAATTTAAAGGACAACAGCACCTCAATTATAATTGCAGTTAACTGAAAGGTCACTTAATATTATAGTTTTTTTAATGTTGCTTGTTCATTTTGATTACCAGGTTTTGTGGTGCCTTTCTTTCTTTGTTGTTGGGCATGTGCTGGAAACCTGAAACTCTGTTCACCCCCAAAAAGCGATTGAGACTCAGTCAATTGAAAGTTCCAAGACCAGCTTTCATTGTTTTTTTTTGTTATTGAAGGCATCAAAGAAATGTGGAACAGGGGCGAATGAATGAAGTTGAACATAGGGGGCAATTTATTCGAAGTGTTTAAATTGATTTAAAAAGTGGTATGGGAACTATTCCCTTTCATTTCCCCAGTGAAACTATTTCCTCTCATGAAGAGCCTCAGAATAAGGGTGTAATCTCAAATTTGGAACAAGTCCAGAAGAATTTCTTCATGCAAAGCATGGTAGAAATCTGGAACTCTGTCCCCAAAAAAGCCATTAAGACTGAGTATCAAAGTTAAATTTCAAAACTGAGTTCTGTAGATTTTTGCTAGGTAAGCAAACTGAAGTGAGCAGACAGAATTAAGGTACAAATCAACCTTGATCTAATTGAATGACACACCCTTGTTTCTATTTTTATGTTACTGCACCCCATTAAGTTTGTCTACTAGTAAATGGCATCTTACAATAGCAGTTTAACCCTTAAACGCTGATGGTAATGCTAACAAGCCTTTTTGAAGCAGCCAGATACATAAGCAAAAGGGGTTGTTGGGTGTTCTCTATTTATAAGTGCAGAAAGGCTTTGTCTGGCATCACAGTGTGGATTGTTACACGGTATGGTGTATGACAACATGAAAAATAGCTTCCATTTATAGTATACTTTAAAGTCGTGAAACATCTCAACCTACTTCACAACTTCGTAATCTGAGAAAATTTGGCACTGAACCACTTAAGATAGGCAATTAAAGAGTGCTGGAGAAGTTTAGCAGGTCTGGAAGCATCTATGGGAAGAGACACAGTTAATATTTTGAGTCTGATGTGACTCTTGTTTGGAACTGAAGAGCAGTAGAAGTGTTTTATGCTGTTATAAAAATGAGACGATCTAGTGAATCAAAATAGATAGGGAGAAGTTAGAGGATGATGGGAATTAGAGATCAGAGGTGTATAGAATAAAAGACAAAGGGTATGGCAATGATTGTAGAGAAGAAACAAAGCATAGGCCTAGAGTGAATGTTAATATCAGAATAAAGATTAGTAAATAACCAGTAGAGATTTTAAGGATGGGAAATTGACCAGAGATGTTGGGTTTTAAGTGAGAGAGGGAGAGACAGAAAGACTTAGGGAGATAGCAAGAACCACACATGCTGGAGTCAGAGTCCATACAGTGTAGAGTTGGAGGAACACAGCAGGTCAGGCAGCATCAGAGGAGCAGGAGAGTCGATGTTTCGGGCCTATACCCTTCATCAGGACTTAGGGAGAGAATCTCGGAGCTTTAGACCTCAACAACTGAAGGCACAGTTGTCAATGGCAGGGCAATGAACGTCTGGGATGAGCAAGAGGTCAGAATTAAGGAATCTTGGAGGTAATTACACACATAATCAGTGATGAGACTAGGGAAAGATTTGAGTTTGAAGATGAAAATTTTAAAATCAAGGCATTGCCGGAACAGAAGTCAACATAGATCATTGAGCATAAGGATGATACAGTTGGGCATGAGTTGGGGCAAAGCCAGCAGAGATTTCAAGGATCTCAGGTTTATTGAGGTTGGAAGATGGGTGGACAGCCAAGAAACTGTTGGAATATGTGGATTAAACAGCTTATTGCCCACTTTTGATTTATCTACACTGACCTTACTGATGACACGGTTGTTGGGTAGGAGGAAAGGAATGTTTTGTCTTTGATGAGAAGGAGATCTGGAGTTAATCCTACAGGTCTTCTCTCATCCTTCTTGAAATCAGGAATGACACTGAGTGAGGAGGCATAGCAACCTTTCATGCCGAGCTCAATAGAAGTCTATGAATGGAGTAAAGGAGAGAATTAGACCAAAGTAGCAAAACGGGGAGTATTGTTCTCATATTTCTTATCTTGGTTGCTGTAGAGTAATTGGAAATTGATTGAAATGATTAGTCAACAACTATCAGAAGGAGGCCTTCCAACACCTTCACAGAACAAGGAACAACATGAGAGACCAACAAAGAAGGTAAAATCATATGGTATCCAAGATAACTTAACAGGTTGAATCCAAATTTGGCTTAGTTGTAGAAGACAAAGGGTGGTGGTGGAAGGCTGTTTGTGTGACGTGAGGCTGGCGTCTAGGAGTGTACCACAGGGATCAGTTCTGGGTCCCTTATCGTTTGTGAAATGTATAAATGATAAAGAAGAAAATGGGATGGGTGGGGAGATGTTAAGTAAGTTTGCAATAAACAAAGACTGAGTCATAGAGATCTATATCACAGAGGAAGACCCTTTGGCCCATTGAGTCTGCAGCGATCAAAAATTCACCAACTATTCTAATCCTATTTTCCTACATTTGGCCTATAGCTTTGTATGCCTTGGCATCACAAGGGCACATCTAAATACTTTTTAAATGTCGTGAGGGTTTCTGAGTCTACCATCCTTACAGGCAGTGAATTTAAGATTTCCACTGCCCTCTCACATCCTTTCTAAGCCTTCTGCCCTTTACCTTAAATCAATGCCCCAGATTATTGATCCCTCCATCAAAGGGAATAATTTCTTCCTGATGACCTTATCTGTATCCTTCATAATTTTATACATATCAATCGTGTCCCCGCTCAGACTTCTTTGCTCCAAGGAGAACAACCCTAGTCTATCCAAGCTCTCTGCAGCCCAGATAGCATCCTGGTAAATCTCCTCGGCACCGTCTCCAGTGCTATCATATCCCTTCTATAATGTGGATTCCAGAACTACACACAGTACTCTAATTGTGGCCTAATCAATATTTTTCACAGTTCTAGCATAAACTGAGGACCCAGGTTCGAATGACAGATGGAATTTGAATTCATCATTTGAAGAGTCTTTAATCCTTTAAAGGCCAGAAAGGATGTGTATTGCCTGTTCATACTTATAGTCATGTAATAAAGAGGACCTTTGGCCCATAGAGTCTGCACCGATAAAAAGCTAATATAAATCTACGAAGTCCCATTTTCCAGCACTTGGCCCATAACTTTGAATGTTATGACATTTCAAATGCTCATCCAAGTACATTTTAAAAGTTTCCCATTTCAACTACCTTCACAGGCAGTGCATTCCAGATTCGCACCACCCTCTGGTTGAAAAAAGGTTTCCTCAAATCCTCAATTCCTCAAAACATTTTTTCTGAAGAAGGGTCTAGGCCCGAAACGTCAGCCTTCCTGCTCCTCTGATGCTGCTTGGCCTGCTGTGTTCATCCAGCTCTACACCTTGTTACATTCAGTCTAGTGTGCTATTTTGAGAACCAGCTATGACTGATCGGAACAGTTAATTGTTCCAATGTAACGTGTAGTCAGTAAAATCTCTACCAAATTATCACCCATGTTTTGCCTCCCTCTCCACCTCGATAGTCTCTGTCCTAATTGTTTTCCTTCATTCCCATTCTCTGCATTGGTTTTCACACCTTTGTATACAGCTCTGATCCAAAACTTTAATTCTCATTCATTCTAGCAAAGCAGCTGTGTGTTTTTATGGGAGACATTGGAATTTGTTCCGTTCTGTGAATGTATGGGCTGCGTCATCTCTATGACAGGCAACTGCCACTCGGTAGCTTGGCAGTGACATACCAATTCAGTGCTCTTTATCTGCTTATGCATGTTTGGTGGCTTTGTATGTAAGTGCAGCTAAGGATGGCTTTGTATGTAAATGCAGTAGTTCATTGCAGCAAGAAAACACTCAGGTAAGTTGGCATATTGGGGGTGATTGAAATAGAGATTATGTTGAATTTCTCAGAATAATTTAAAGTACAAAGGGAAACTATTCAGCTCTGCTCTTATGATGCTGCTTGGCCTGCTGTGTTCATCCAGCCCTGCACTTTGTTGTCTCGGATTCTCCAGCATCTGCAGTTCCTACTATCTCTCATTGAAATTATGCTGGCTGACTGTGGAGCAATCCAGTTAGTCCCATTCTCCTGCTTCATTTCTGTCACCTTGCAAGTTTCATTCTTTCAAGTGCTCATCCAATTTCCTTTAGCAACCATTGATCATTTCTGTTTCATCCATTCTTGGAAGCACAGAGATTCTAGATGATTACTACCTACTGTGAAAAATATTGTTCTTTACACTTACCTGCATATCTTTTTCAAAGCTTTAATCTGTACATAGAGTCAGATTTTTATTTATTGATGATCTGTTTTTGTTATTTTGGCAGTGTTTTAATATGTTGACCTCATCGTATTCCATGAAATCTGTCTCTTTTCAAGGCATAGGACTGAAAACCTACAGTAAGGTAAGCTCATACCCACCCATGATGGATTTGGGTGAGTAATATATTGGAGTTGTTGGTTGGTTCGCCGAGCTGACTGGTTTTCATGCAAACGTTTCATCTCCCTTCTAGGTGACATCATCAGTGCAGTGTAGCCTCCATTGAAGCGCTTCTGTCCCGCTCTGAATTTATATGGTCAGGTCTGTCATGGTGGGCAGTCTTGTTTCTGTACCGTAGTGGAACGTAGTTAGGCTCAGTTTCAACATGTTTGTTAATTGCATTAGTGGTTGAAAACCAGGCCTCCAGGAATTCTCGTGCTTGTCTTTATGTTGTTTGGCCTAGTACTGTAACAATTGATGTCCTTCTATGTCGGAGTGTATTGAAATGAGGGAATCTCTCCCTCGTTTCAAAACACTCCGACATTTTTTCTTCATTCATTCATGGATGAGGGCGTCGCTGGCGAGGCAGCATTTACTTCCCAGAGGATAGTTAAGAGTCAACCACATTACTGTCATCTGGAGTCACATGTAGGTAAGGATGGCAGTTTCCTTCCCTAAAGGACATTAGCGAATCAGATAGGTTTTTCCTTAAATCGACAATGGATTCATGGTCATCATTAGAGTCTTAATTCCAGGTATTTATTGAATTCAAATTTCACCATCTGCCGTGGTGGGATTCGAACCTGGGTCCCCAGAAGGTTATCTGGGTCTCCGGATTAATCCAGCAATAATACCACGAGGCTATTGCATCCCCTAGACATACAAGAACATCAATTTGGGGGAGAATTTCCCTCATTTCAATACACTCTGACATAGAAGGGTATCAATATGACTGTGACAAAGTTACAGTACTAGGACAAGGAAGACAAAGACAAGCATGAGAATTCCTGGAGGCCCGGTTTTCAACCACCGATGCAATTAACAAATATGTTGAAATAGACCCCATCAACACACCACTATGGTATAAAACCAGAAACAAGACTGCCCACCATGACAGACCAGACCATATAAATTCAGAGCGGGACAGAACAACAGCGCTTCAACGGAGGCTACACAACATTGATGATGTCACATAAGAGCATAAGAACTTAAGAACCAGGAGCAGGAGTAGGCCATCTGGCCCCTCGAGCCTGCCCCGCCATTCAATAAGATCATGGCTGATCTTTTTGAGACTTAGCTCCACTTACCCGCCCGCACACCATAACCCTTAATTTCTTTACTGTTCAAAAATTTATCTAGCCTTGCCTTAAACACATTCAGCGAGGTAGCTTCAACCGCTTCACTGGGCAGGGAATTCCACAGATTCACAATTTGGGTGAAGAAGTTTCTCCTGACCTCAGTCCTACATCTGCTTCCCTTTATTTTGAGGCTATGCCCCCTAGTCCTAGTTTCACCTGCTAGCGGAAACAACCTCCCTGCCTCCACCTTACCTATTCCCTTCATAATCTTATATGTTTCTACAAGATTTCTCCTCTTTCTTCTGAATTCCAATGAGTATAATCCCAGTCTACTCAGTCTCTCCTCATAATCCAACCCTCTCAACTCTGGAATCAACCGAGTGAATCTCCTCTGCACCCCCTCCAGTGCTAGTATATCCCTTCTCCGGTAAGGAGACCAAAACTGCACACAGTACTCCAGGTGTGGCCTCACTAGGGCCTTATACAGCTGCAGCATAGCCTCCCTGTGTTTAAACTCCATCCCTCTAGCAATGACAGACAAAATTCCATTTGCCTTTTTAATTACCTGCTGCACCTGCACTCCTACTTTTGGTGATTCATGCACAAGGACACCCAAGTCCCTCTGCACAGCAGCGTGCTGCAATTTTTTACGATTTAAAACATAGTCCGTTTCGCTACCAAATTTTCCTACCGAAATGGATGACCTCACACTTATCAACATTGTACTCCATCTGCCAGACCTTTGCCCACTCGCTTAGACTATCTATATCCCTCTGTCAACTTTCAGTGTCTTCTGCACACTTTGCTCTACCACTCACCTTAGTGTCATCTGCAAATTTTGACACACCACATTTAGTCCCCAACTCCAAATCATCTATGTAAATTGTAAACAATTGCGGTCCCAACATTGATCCCTGAGGCACACCACTAGCCACTGACCACCAACCAGAAAAACACCCATTTACCCCTAACTCTTTGCTTTCTACTGGTCAACCAATCCTCTATCCATGCCAATACATTAGTTCTGAGGAAGGGTCACTGGACCCAAAACATTAACTCTGTTTTCTCCTCCACAGATGCTGCTAGACCTGCTGAGCTTTTCCAACAGCTTTGTTTTTGCTCCAATACATTACCTGTCATACATAGAAGGGAGACTAAACATTTGCATGAAAACCAGTCAGCTCGGCGAACCAATTGCAACCCGAGCTACAGATCTTCATTAAAACATGAGTAATATATTATTTCTACTTTATTGGGACATTAATATTAATCTTACATATGAGAAAGTGCAAAAAAGAATTACAGGAATAACACCAGACTTAGAGGTTAAAACTCCCGCAAAATGTTGAACGCCAAAGTGAAGACTGGAGATGATCTTATAGATGTCTTGAATATTAGCATGGATTTAATAAACTACATTCCTATGTATTGCTGCATATTGTGTGTTAATGCTAGTCAATTTCTCATAGTATCAGGAGGAAGTTCATCTGATGTGACATTCATGACTTTGAGGAGATAACATGATGTTTGTGAACATTCACCCCACATCTGCATTTTGATGCTGGAAGTGAGCCTATTCCTGAATGAGTTGGCTCACACATCTGGAAAAAATCCATGCAAATGAGACCCTTTGCACCCTTGATTCCATTCCAATCAAGGGAGGAATATTGTGTGAACCTGTCACTTCAGGATATGAAGCAAATGTTTTCACACTTTCGGGCTGTTCTTGCGACGTCAGATTATTGGGCACTGTATCTGTGTTTTTTGAAGTTGATGATTGTCAATCATTTGTTAGTTTCTAGCTTGACTTTCATGTATTTTTAAGCAACCTGTTCAGTTGAATCTGAACCCTGTGGCCCTAAGGTAGGGACACCATGACTGTGCCACACAGCCACACTCTAGCTTGATTTTTACAGTAAGTGGTTGTTTGGTGGGAGAGGATTTGGCTTCGTTGTACATGTAATTAAGTTAAACAAATGAAGTATAAAGGCTATAGTGATTTTGAGATAAGTATTGAGATGCTGAGCATAAGTGACAATTGGCATCATGGGTTGTTGTGGGATGATGTTAGTGACCCTACCTCTAAGCCGGGTGACCTGGCTTCAAGACCCATTGCATATGATATTCAGTAACATTTGGAACAAGTTGGTTAGAAAATGTCTAGGTGACAATTGGACATTGTAGTGATGGATGATGCATAATAATTTGTGGAGGGTGGAGAAAAATAAAGGCTATTAATTAGTGTATCTGAGGGGATTGGTGTAGCGAGGAAACAGATTCTCAAGCTTTAAGTTAATGTTCATAAGGGGGAGAAAGTTCCAAAAGGCAATCGAGAGAAAAAGAGACAGTGAGGATATTTATTCATGGGCAAAGATGATGGAGAATAATGTTTGGAATGAACTAGAGATTGGGAATGTACAAATAACATAACAAGATGGTATGATATGACCTTTGGTGTGAGGCCTTTACTTTTCAAGTGCCACAATTTTTGCTTGTCAGATGCTACTGTCATGTCAGCAATAACACTTACATTTATACAGTATCTTTAACACAGTAGAATGTCCCACTGCACTTTCTGGTGTAAATGTCAAACAAAACTTGACATTGACCCATGTCAGGAGATACTGGAAAAGTGACCAACGGTTTGGTCAGGGAGGTACCTTTTGAAGAAAAGGAGGTGGAGAAACAGAGGGAACAAAAATAGAAATTGTTCAAAAACTCAGCTGGTCTGGCAGCATCTGAGGAGAGGAAGCAGAGTTAATGTTTCAGGCCCAGTGACCCATTTTCAGAACAGTTCTCAGACCCTTCTGAAGATGAGTTGCTGGATCTAAAATGTTAACTGTGCTTTCCACAGATGCTGCCAGACCTGCTGAGATTTTCCAGCAATTACTGTTTTTGTTTCTGTTTCCAGCATCCTTAGTTTTTTGGATTTTTGTTCAGGAGAAACAGAGAGGGGTTTTGGTAAGCAGTTACAGAGCTTAGGACCCATATTGCTGAAGGTAAACATAGACACATCGACACATCGACTTAATGCCCAAATCAGGATATTTTGCTGCTTGAACGCAGGCCATGTTGAATTGGATGTAGAGGGTTTGTTTCCCAATTGTAACCAGTTCAAGATCCACTCAGTTACACAGTGTGTCAGTCAGGCCTTTTGTTTTGATTGATTGATGCTAAGTTAATGCTGTTGTGGTAGTTATATGCTTTCTGCATCTGGTGGATTCTTAACAATTTACCCCTGATTCCTTTGCAGTGGAATGTCCCCAGTCTGGCCAGTACTGAAATCTCAAGAAGGAAGAAGAGCAAACGAATCAAATCAAACTTTTTTGGTATTGAGGTCTTGGACCATCTTGAATGGCTGAACTGGGATCCGGGGATAGAATCCACCAAACATCTAATATTAAAGAACGTACAGTTCAAAACTCAAAAACTCAAGTACAGGTGAGTTCTGATACAGTCTTGCAAGAGCTTTAATGCCTCTCATAAACCACTTCTATGTCCCATCTAAACTTGAGATTTCTGAGTCTTTTGACTTTTGTCTTTTATGGGTCACGTAGGGTTGTATCATTGAGCTTTGAGGGTCGCATTAGAAGTTTAAATCGATATGTTGATTCATTTCCATATATCTCCAACCACTGATGTGACAGATCAAAAACCAAAAGAACTGCGGATGCTGTAAATCAGAAACAAAAACAGAAGTTGCTGGAAAAGCTCAGCAGGTGTCATGGCATCTGTGAAAAGACCTCAGTGTTAACGTTTCGGGTCTGGTGACCCTTCCTCAGACCCTTCATCAGTTCTGAGGAAGGGTCACTGGACCTGAAACGTTAACTCTGATTTCTCTTCACAGATGCTGCCAGACTTGCTGAGCTTTTCCAGCAACTTCTGTTTTTATTACTGATGTAACAGATTCTGATGTTATGATTTGGGATTGACACAATTAAGGCCTTTGCAGTATCCAGTGTAATTGAATTGTCTGAAGACTGGTACGTGAACATGGCGATCTGTGAACATGATAGATCATCCTCTCCATTCTTCAGGCTGAGGATGGATACAAATGCCTTGTCTTTTGGAATGATGTACTGAGCTTTCTGTTTATTGAGTTGGGGATATTTGTAGAGCCTCCTGCTGCTGCTGGTTGTTTAATAATCCACCATAATGAACAACTGGATATAAAAGAACTGTGGAGCTTAGATCAAATCCATTCGTGAAGGTAATCACTTAGCCCTTTTTATTGCACACTGCTTCTGTTGTTTGGAATACCAGTAATCCTATGCTGTAGCTTCACCAAGTTGATGCCTGAAGAATGTTTTAATGAAGATCTGTAGCTCGGGTTGTGGTTGGAGTTGTTGGTTGGTTCGCTGAGCTAACTGGTTTTCATGCCAGCATTTCATCTCCCTTCGAGGTGACATCGTCAGTGCTGTGTAACCTCTGTTGAAGCGCTGTTGTTCTGTCCTGCTCTGAACTTATATGGCCTGGTCTATCACGGTGGGCGATCTTGTTTCCGGTTTTGTACCGTAATGGTATGTTGATGGGGTCTATTTCAATATGTTTCTTAATTGCATCGGTGGTTGAAAACCAGGCTTCCGGGAATTCACATGCTTGTCTTTGTCTTGTTTGTCTTAGTACTGTAACTTTGTCCCAATAGAAGGACATCAATTTGACTGGGACAAAGTTACAGTACTAGGTCAAGCAAGACAAAGACAAGCACGAGAATACCCGGAGGCCTGATTTTCAACCACCGATGCAATTAACAAACATGTTGAAATAGACCCCATCTACATACCACTACGGTACAAAACCAGAAATGAGACTGCCTGCTGTGACAGACCGGACCATATAAATTCAGAGCGGGACAGAACAACAGCGCTTCAACAGAGGCTACACAACACTGACGATGTTACCTAGAAGGGAGACGAAACGTTTGTATGAAAACCAGTTTGGCGAACCAACCAATAACTCCTGATATAGTAGGAACTGCAGATGCTGGAGAATCTGAGATAACAAGGTGTAGAGCTGGATGAACACAGCAGGCCAAGCAGCATCAGAGGAGCAGGAAGGATGACGTTTCGGGTCTAGAC